TTTTTTGGTTGAATATTCTTGAACACCTAATGTAAGAAGTGAAATCAACCCACATCAAGCTTATTGGTCCTCTTTGAAACCAAAAAATCCCTTTCGCTGTGTTCGAGGTTCTTTCACTTCGCTTTACGATTTTTTGGGTCACTAGCTAGAGAACCAAGTGAAATCAACCCATATAAGCTTATAGGTGTTTTTTGGGTGAATATGCTTGCACACCTAAGGACTACGTGAAATCAATCCAAATAAGCTTATTCGTCATCTTTCTCTGCAGATGGAGGGGGAAACAACGAGTTTTCCATTTTTTGAGATTCTTTCACTTCACTTTGCGGTTTTATGGTGCACACCTAAATAATCAAGCGAAAGACACCCAATCAAGAATTATTCCTCTTCTTTGTAACAAGATATCCCTGTTTTGCTTTGAATATGCTTGAACACCTAATGTACAAAGTGAATTCAACCCAAATCAAGCTTTGTCCTCTTTGAAACAAAAAACCTTTTCGCTTTGTTCGATTCTTTCACTTCGCTTTGCGATTTTTATGTAAATATGCATGCACACCTACAGAACCAAGTGAAATCAACGAAAATCTAGCTTAGCCTTCTTTGAAAGCAAAAAATTCCTTTTGCTTTGTTGGAGAGTCTTTCACTTCACTTTGCTATTTTGGGGTAAATATGCATGCACACCTAAAGAACCAGGTGAAATCAACCAAAATCTACCTTAGTCGTCCTCTTTGAAAGCAAAAAATCCCTTTTGCTTTGTTGGAGAGTTTCACTCCACATTGCGATTAATATGCTTGCACAGTATCTAGAGAACCATGTGAAATCAACCCCGTATTAAGCTTATAGGTGTTTTTTGATTGAATATGCTTGCACACCTAAGGAACTAAGCGAAATCAATCCAAATAAGCTTTTTCAGCATCTTTCTCTGCAGATGGTGGGGAAAACAACGAGTTTTCCATTCTTTGAGATTCTTTCACTTCGCTTTGCGGTTTTATGGTGCACACAAAAGACACCCATTCAAGGCTTATTCCTCTTCTTTGTAACAAGAAATCCCTGTTTTGCTTTGTTTGGGCCTCTTTCACTTCGAATATGCTTGAACACCTAATGTACGAAGTGAAATCAACCCAAATCAAGCTTATTCGTCCTCTTTGAAACCAAAAAATCCCTTTCGCTTTGTTCGAGATTCTTTCACTTCGCTTTACGAATTTTGGGTCACTAGCTAGAGAACCAAGTGAAATCAACCCATATAAGCTTATAGGTGTTTTTTGGGTGAATATGCTTGCACACCTAAGGACTAAGTGAAATCAATCCAAATAAGCTTATTCGTCATCTTTCTCTGCAGATGGAGGGGGAAACAACGAGTTTTCCATTTTTTGAGATTCTTTCACTTCACTTTGCGGTTTTATGGTGCACACCTAAATAATCAAGCGAAAGACACCCAATCAAGACATATTCCTCTTCTTTGTAACAAGAAATCCCTGGTTTGCTTTGTTTGGGCCTCTTTCACTTCGCTTTCGGTTTTTTGGTTGAATATTCTTGAACACCTAATGTACGAAGTGAAATCAACCCACATCAAGCTTATTCGTCCTCTTTGAAACCAAAAAATCCCTTTCGCTTTGTTCGAGATTCTTTCACTTCACTTTGCTATTTGGGGGTAAATATGCATGCACACCTAAAGAACCAGGTGAAATCAACCAAAATGTAGCTTGTCTTCTTTGAAAGCAAAAAATCCCATTTGCTTTGTTGGACAGTTTCACTCCACATTGCGATTAATATGCTTGCAAACTATCTAGAGAACCAAGTGAAATCAACCCAAATAGGCTTTATCTTTTCTGCAGATGGATTCAAGAGCGAGTTTTCCATTCTTTGAGATGCTTTCACTTCGCTTTGCGGTTTTTCGGTGAACACCTAAATAATCAAGCGAAAGACACCCAATCAAGATTTATTCGTCTTCTTTGTAACAAGAAATCCCTGTTTTGCTTTGTTTGGGCCTCTTTCACTTCGCTTTCGGTTTTTTGGTTGAATATTCTTCAACACCTAATGTACGAAGTGAAATCTTATTCGTCCTCTTTGAAACAAAAAAAATCCCTTTCGCTGTGTTGGAGGTTCTTTCACTTCGCTTTACGATTTTTGGGTCACTATCTAGAGAACCAAGTGAAATCAACCCATATAAGCTTATAGGTTTTTTGGGTGAATATGCTTGCACACCTAAGGACTAAGTGAAATCAATCCAAATAAGCTTATTTGTCATCTTTCTCTGCAGATGGAGGGGGAAACAACGAGTTTTCCATTTTTTGAGATTCTTTCACTTCACTTTGCGGTTTTATGGTGCACACCTAAATAATCAAGCGAAAGACACCCAATCAAGACTTATTCCTCTTCTTTGTAACAAGAAATCCCTGGTTTGCTTTGTTTGGGCCTCTTTCACTTCGCTTTCGGTTTTTTGGTTGAATATTCTTGAACACCTAATGTACGAAGTGAAATCAACCCACATCAAGCTTATTCGTCCTCTTTGAAACAAAAAAAATCCCTTTCACTGTTCGAGGTTCTTTCACTTCGCTTTACGATTTTTGGGTCACTAGCTAGAGAACCAAGTAAAATCAAGCCATATGTGTTTTTTGGGTGAATATGCTTCCACACCTAAGGACTAAGTGAAATCAATCCAAATAAGCTTATTTGTCATCTTTCTCTGCAGATGGAGGGGGAAACAATGAGTTTTCCATTTTTTGAAATTCTTTCACTTCGCTTTGCGGTTTTATGGTGCACACCTAAATAATCAAGCGAAAGACACACAATCCAGATTTATTCCTCTTCTTTGTATGCATATGTAACAAGATATCCCTGTTTTGCTTTGAATATGCTTGAACACCTAATGTACAAAGTGAATTCAACCCAAATCAATCTTATTCGTCCTCTTTGAAAGAAAAAAAACCCTTTCGCTTTGTTCGATTCTTTCACATCACTTTGCTATTTTGGGGTAAATATGCATGCACACCTAAAGAACCAGGTGAAATCAATCAAAATCTAGCTTAGTAGTCTTCTTTGAAAGCAAAAAATCACTTTTGCCTTGTTGGAGAGTTTCACTCCACATTGTGATTAATACGCTTGCACACTATCTAGAGAACCAAGTGAAATCAACCCAAATACGCTTCGTCTTCCTTTTCTGCAGATGGATTCAAGAACGAGTTTTCCATTCTTTGAGATGATTTTACTTCGCTTTGCGTTTTTTTGGTGAACACCTAAATAATCAAGCGAAAGATACCCAATCAAGGCTTATTCTTCTTCTTTGTATGCATATGGAACAGGAAATCCTAGTTTTGCCTGCTTTGGGCGTCTTTCACTTCGTTTCGGTTTTTTTGGTTGAATATACTTGAACACCTGATGTACGAAGTGAATTCAACCCAAATCAAGCTTATTCGTCCTCTTTGAAAGAAAAAAACCCTTTCGCTTTGTTCGATTCTTTCACTTTGCTTTGCTATTTTGGGGTAAATATGCATGCACACCTAAAGAACCAGGTGAAATCAACCAAAATCTAGCTTAGTCGTCTTCTTTGAAAGCAAAAAATCCCTTTTCCTTTGTTGGAGAGTTTCACTCCACATTGCGATTAATATGCTTGCACAGTATCTAGAGAACCATGTGAAATCAACCCCATATTAAGCTTATACGTGTTTTTTGATTCAATATGCTTGCACACCTAAGGAACTAAGCGAAATCAATCCAAATAAGCTTTTTCAGCATCTTTCTCTGCAGATGGTGGGGAAAACAACGAGTTTTCCATTCTTTGAGATTCTTTCACTTCGCTTTGCGGTTTTATGGTGCACACAAAGACACCCATTCAAGGCTTATTCCTCTTCTTTGTAACAAGAAATCCCTGTTTTGCTTTGTTTGGGCCTCTTTCACTTCGAATATGCTTGAACACCTAATGTACGAAGTGAAATCAACCCAAATCAAGCTTATTCGTCCTCTTTGAAACCAAAAAATCCCTTTTGCTTTGTTCGATTCTTTCACTTCACTTTGCTATTTTGGGGTAAATATGCATGCACACCTAAAGAACCAGGTGAAATCAACCAAAATCTAGCTTAGTCGTCTTCTTTGAAAGCAAAAAATCCCTTTTGCTTTGTTGGAGAGTTTCACTCCACATTGCGATTAATATGCTTGCACACTATCTAGAGAACCAAGTGAAATCAACCCATATAAGCATGGTTTTTTTGGGTGAATATGCTTGCACAGCTAAGGAACTAAGTGAAATCAATCCAAGGATTATTCGTCATATTTCTCTGCAGATGGAGGGGAAAACAACGCGTTTTGCTTTCTTTGGGATTCTTTCACTTCGCTTTGCGATTTTTGGGTGAGTATGCATGCTCACCTAAGGATCCACGTGAATTCAACCCATATAAGCCTATTTGTGTTCTTTGGCTGAAAATGCTTGCAAACCTAAAGAAATAAGTGAAATCACCCAAATCAAGCTTAGTCGTCTTCTCTGAAACACAAAAATCCCTTTTGCTTTGTTGGAAATTCTTCCGCTTTGCGACTTGGGTGAATATGCATGCAAACCTACAGAACCAAGTGAAACCAACCCAAATCAAGCTTAGTCTACTTTGAAACCCCTGCTTTGTTGGACACCCAAAAATAGGAAAGGGAAGTGTTATGAGCCTAAACAAAGCATAACAGGTGTTTCGGGGTCCATCTCCATAGAAAGACGACGAATAAGCTGTGATTGCGTCGTGCTTCTTGGATTTGGATGCATATTCACCCAAAAATCGCAGGTGTTATCAGCCCAAAGCCAAACAGGTGTTTTGGGTTCCATCGCCATAGAAAGAAAAATAAGCTTTGATTGTTCTTAGTTTCATTTTTTCTGTGCACCAGAACATCTCAGTGAAATCATTCTAAACATTCTAAACAAAGCAAAACAGGTTGTTTTCCATCTACATAAAAAGACTAATAAACTTGGATTGGGCTTATATCAATTCACTACAGTTATTTTTTGTGTTAAAGCACATTCACACTCACCAGCGGCAGCGTCGGAGGCGGCAGAGGAGCGGGTGGTAGACATTCAGGAGGCGGAGGCACCAGAGGCAGCGGCAGAGGCCCAGGTTGTAGAGCCTCTCGCGACCGAGGCACCAGCGGCAGAGGCCCAGGCGGTAGAGCGTCTGGCGGTGGAGGCACCAGTGGCAGCAGCAGAGGCCCAGGCAGTAGTGGCTCTGGCGGAGGAAATAGCAGAGGCCCAGGCGGTAGAGGCTCAGGCTGCGGAGGCGGCAGCGGCACAGGCGGTGGAAGTTGAGGCGGCGGAAGCACCAGCGGCAGCGGCAGAGGCCCAGGCGGTAGAGGTTCTGGCGGCGGAGGCACCAATGGCAGCGGCAGAGGCCTAGGCGGTAGAGGGGCTGGCGGTGGAGGCACCAGTGACTGCCACAGAAGAGGCTCTGGTGGCGGAGGCAACAGCAGCAACGGCAGAGGCCCAGTCTGAAGAGGGTCTGGCGGCGGAGGCACCAACGACAGCGGAAGAGGCCCAGGCGGCAGAGGCTCTGGCAGTGGAGGCACCAGCGGGAGTGGCAGAGGACCAGGTGGCAGAGGCACCAGCGGCTGCAGCAGCAGCCAAGGCAGTAGAGGCAATGGCAGTGGAGGCACCAATGGAGCGGCAGAGGCCTAGGTGGTAGAGGGGCTGGCGGCGGAAACACCAGCGGCAGAGGCCCAGGCAGTACAGGCTCTGACGGAGGAGCGGCAGAGGCCCAGGCGGTAGAGGCTCTGGCGGCGGAGGCACCAATGGCAGCGGAAGAGGCCCAGGTGGTAGAGGCTCTGGTGCGGAGACACCAACGGCAGCGGAAGAGGCCCAGGTGGTAGAGGCTCTGGCGGCGGAGACACCAACGGCAGCAGAGGCTCTGGTGGTGGAGGCAACAGCAGCAGCGTCAGAGGCCCAGGCGGTAGAGGCTCTGGCGGCGGAGGCATCAACGGCAGCGGAAGAGGCCCAGGCCGTAAAGGCTCTGGCGGCGGAGACACAACGGCAGTGGCAGAGACCCAGGCGGCAGAGGCTCTGGCAGTGGAGGCACCAGCGGGAGTGGCAGAGGCCCAGGTTGTAGAGGCACCAGCGGCTGCAGCAGCAGCCAAGGCGGTAGAGGCAATGGCAGTGGAGGCACCAATGGCAGCGGCAGAGGCCTAGGTGGTAGAGGGGCTGGCGGCGGAAACACCAGCGGCAGAGGCCCAGGCAGTAGAGGCTCTGACGCAGGAGCGGCAGAGGCCCAGGCGGTAGAGGCTCTGGCGGCGGAGGCACCAACTGCAGCGGAAGAGGCCCAGGTGGTAGAGGCTCTGGCGGCGGAGACACCAACGGCAGCTACAGAGACCCAGGCAGCAGAGGCTCTGGTGGCGGAGGCAACAGCCGTAGCGTCAGAGGCCCAGGTGGTAGAGGCTCTGGCGGCGGAGGCCCATGCGGTAGAGGCCCAGGTGGCGGAGGCACCAACGACAGCGGCAGAGGCCTTGGCGTTTGAGGCATCATCGGCAGCGACAGCAGCAATGTGATAGAGGCTCAGGCTGCGGAGGTACCAGCGGCAGCCGCAGAGGCCCAGGCAGAAGAGGCTCTGGTGGCGGAGGCACCAGTAGCAGCCGCAGAGGCCCAGGAGGTAGAGGTTCAGGCTGCGGAGGCACCAGTGGCATGCGGTAGAGGCTCTGGCAGCAGAGGCACCAGTGGCTGCGGGAGAGGCCCATGCGGTAGAGGCCCAGGTGGTGGAGGTACCAGCGGCAGCAGCAGAGGCCTTGGCGTTAGAGGCACCATCGGCAGCGGCAGCAGCAAGGCGATAGAGGCTCTGGCGGTGGAGGCACCAGCAGCGGCAGTAGCAGAGGCCCAGGAGGTAGAGGTTCTGGAAGTGGAGAAACCAACGGCAACGACAGACACCCAGGCGGAAGAGGCTCTGGTGGCGGAGGCAACAGTGGCAGCGGCAGAGTCCAAGGCGGTAGAGGCCCCAGCGGCTGCAGCAGCAGCCAAGGCGGTAGAGGCAATGGCAGCGGTAGCACCAGCAGCAGCGGCAGAGGGTCAGGTGGTAGAGGCCGTGGTGTTAGAGGCACCAGTGGCAGCGGCAGCGGCAAGGCAATAGAGGTGGAGGCACCAGCGGCAGTGGACCAGGCGGTAAAGACTCTGGCGGCAGAGGCACCAGAGGCAGAGGCTCTTGCGGCAGAGGCATAAGTGGCAGTGGCAGAGGTCCAGGCGGTAGAGGCTCAGGCAGTGGAGAACCAGCGCCAGCGGCAGAGGACCAGGTGGTAGAGGATCTGGCGGCAGAGGCACCAGCGCCAGCGGCAGAGGCCCAGGCGGTAGAGGCTCTGGCATCGGAGGCACCAGCGGCAGCACAGAAGCCCAGGCGGTAGAGGCTCAGGCTGCGAAGGCATCAGGGGCAGCCGCAGAAGCCCAGGAGGTAGAGGCTCTTGTGGCGGAGGCACCAGTGGCACTGGCAGAGGCCCAGGCGGTAGAAGCTCAGGTGGCGGAGTCACCAGTAGCAGCAGCAGAGCCCAGGCAGTAGAGGCTCAGGCAACGGAGAACCAGCGGCAGCGCCAGAGGCCCAGGCAGTAGAGGCTCTAGCGGGTGAGGCGGCAGCTGCAGCGGCCCAGGCGGTAGAGGCTCGGGCTGCGGAGGCACCAGCGGTAGCGGCAGAGGCCCAGGCGGTAGAGACTCAGGAGGTACCAGCAGGTTTTAACAGCAAAAACAAAAAACTCCTTTTACTCCTTTTACATTATAATATATCAATAAGCATGACCCATCCATCGACCCAACCACCAGGGAACTGTGAGAGATAGGTGCTGCTCTATATACACTGTACCCTATTGCTGACACACCTTAATTAACAAAACTTAACAGCACCTGCTATACTGCTTCACAGCTGTAAAGCTAGGTCGGGTTATTTGCTTTGGCCCTTAAAGAAATATACAACTTGTGAAACAATAATGAACCTTCAAATTAAAAAGACGATTCAACAGCAGCGGCAAAGGCAAAGGAGGTAGAGGTTCAGGCAGCAGAGGCACCAGCAGCAGCGGCAGAGACCCAGGAAGTAGAGGCTGAGGCGGCGAAGGCACCAGCAGCAGCGGCAGAGACCCAGGAGGTAGAGGCTCAGGCGGCGGAAGTACCTGCGGCAGCGGCAGAGGCACAGGCGGAAGAGGCTCAGGTGGCAGAGGCACAAGCGGCAGCGGCAGAGGCCCAGGTGGTAGAGGCTCTGGCGACGGAGGCAGCAGCTGCAAAGGCAGAGGCCCAGGCGGTAGAGGCTTGGGCTGCGGTGGCACCAGCACCAGTGGCAGAGGCCCAGGCGGTAGAGGCTCTGGCGGCAGATGGCACCAGCTGCAAGGCAGAGGCCCAGGCCTGCGGTGGCACCAGCGCCAGCGGCAGAGGCTCAGGCGGTAGAGGTTCTGGCGGTGGAGGCACCTTCACCAGCGGCAGAGGCTCAGGCGGTAGAGGCTCAGATGGCGGAGGCTCCAGCGGCAGTGGCAAAGCCCAGGCGGTAGAGGCTCTGGCGGCGAAGGCACCAGCGGCGGAGGCCCTGGATGCAGAGGCTCTGGCGGTGGAGGCACCAGTGGCAGTGACAGAGACCTAGGCAGTAGAGGCTCAGGCGGCAGAGGCACAGGTGGTAGAGGGCTGGCGGCGGAGGAACCAGAGGCACCGGCAGAGGTCCAGGCGGTGCAGGCTCAGGCGGTAGAGGCTCAGATGGCAGAAGTACCAGCGGCAGAGGCCCACGAGTTAGAGGCTCCGGCGGCGGAGGCACCAGTGGCAGCAGCAGCAGCCAAGTCGGTAGAGGCAATTGCAGTGGAGGCACCAGCAGCAGCGGCAGAGGCCCATGTGGTAGAGGGCTGGCGGCGGAGGCACCAGAGGCAGCGGCAACAGCAATGCAATAGAGGCTCTGGCGGTGGAGGCACCAGCAGCAGCAGCAGAGGCCCAGGCGGTAGAGGTTCTGGCGGAGGAGACACCAACGGCAGCGAAAGACACCCAGGCGGCAGAGGCTCTGGTGGCGGAGGCAGCAGCGGCAGCAGCAGAGGCCCAGGTGGCGGAGGAACCAGCGGCAGTGGCAGTGGCAGCACCAGGGGCTTTGGCGTTAGAGGCGCCAGCGGCAGCGGCAAGGCAATAGAGGCTCTGGCGGTGGAGGCACCAGCGGCAATGGACCAGGCGGTAAAGGCTCCGGCGGCAGAGGCACCAGCGGCAGAGGCTGACGTGGTAGAGGCTCTTGCGGCGGAGGCAGATGTGGCAGTGGCAGAGGTCCAGGCGGTAGAGGCTCAGGCAGTGGAGAACCAGCGCCAGCGGCAGAGGCCCAGGCGGTAGGGGTTAAGGTGCAGGAGGCACCAGCGGCAGAAGCGCAGGTGGTACAGATTCAGGCGACGGAGGCACCAGCGGCAGCAGAAGAGCCGCAGGTGAAAGAAGCTCAGGCTGCCGAGGCACGAGCATCAACTGCAGAGGCCCAGGCGATGCAGCCTGGGCAGAGGAGGAACCAGTAGGAGCGGCAGAGGCCCAGGCAGTAGAGGCTCTGGCGTTGGAGGCACCAGGGGCAGCACAGAAGCCCAGGCGGTAGAGGCTCAGGCGTCGGAGCCACCAGCGCCAGCGGCCCAGGCGTTAGAAGCTCAGGCGGCAGAGACACCAGCGGCAGCAACAGAAGCGCAAGTGGTTTAGATTCAGGCAATGGAGGCATCAGCGGCAGAGGCGGAGGCGGCAGAGGCAGAGGCGGCAGAGGCCCAGGCGGTAGAGACTCTGGCAGCGGAGGCACCAGCAGCAGAGGACCAGGCGGTAGAGGCTCTGGTGGCGGAGGCAACAGCGGCAGCAGCAGAGGCCCAGGCAGTAGAGGCTCAGGCTGCGGAGGCACAAGCGGCAGAGGCCCAGGCGGTAGAGCCTCTTGCGCAAAATAACTTTATCTAGGTTTTAACAAGAAAAACAAAAAACTCCTTTTACATTATAATATATCAATAAGCATGACCCATCCATTGACCCAACCACCAGGGAACTGAGAGAGCTAGGTGCTGCTCTAGATATACTGTACCCAATTGCTGACACACCTTAATTAACAAAACTTAACAGCACCTGCTATAGTGCTTCACAGCTATAAAGCTAGGTCGGGTTATTTGCTCTGGCACTTAAAAATATATACATCTTGTGGTATAATAATGAACCTTCAAATTAAAGAGATGATTCAACAGCAGCGGCAGAGGCAAAGGTGGTAGAGGTTCAGGCAGCCGAGGCACCACCGGCAGCTGCAGAGGGTCAGGCGATGCAGCCTGGTCGGTGGCGGAACCAGCAAGAGCGGCAGAGGCCCAGGTGGCAGAGGCTCTGGCGGCGGAGGCAACAGCGGCAGCAGCAAAGGCCCAGGCAGAAGAGGCTCAGGCGGCGGAGGCACCAGCGGCAGCAGCAGAGGTCCAGACAGAAGAGGCTGAGCCGATGGAGGCGGCGGAGGCACCAGCGTCAGGGACAGATGACCAGGCGGCAAAGGCTGAGGCGGCGGTTGTACAGCGGCAGCGGCAGAGGCCCAGGCGTTAGACATTTTGGCGGCAGAGGCACGAGCGGCAGTGGCAGAGGCGTAGGCGGTAGGGGCTAAGGTGAAGGAGGCCCCAGCAGCAGCGGCAGAGGCCCAGGTGGTAGAGGCTCTGGCGGCGGAGGCACCAGCGGCAGCCACAGAGGCCCAGGTGGAAGAGGCTCTGGCGGCGGAGGCACCAGCGGCCACGGCAGAGGCCCAGTCGGTAGAGGCTCTGGCGCCGGAGACACCAACAGCAGTGACAGACACCCAGGCGCCAGAGGTTGTGGTGGCGGAGGCAACAGCGGCAGCGGCAGAGGCCCAGGCGTTAGAGGCCCCAGCAGCTGCAGCAGCAGCCAAGGCAGTAGAGGCAATGGCAGTGGTGGCACCAGCAGCGGTGGTAGAGGGCCTAGGCGGTAGAGGCTCTGGCAGCGAAGGCACCAGCGGCTGCGTCCAAGGCCCAGGTGGCGGAGGAACCAGCGGCAGTGGCAGTGGCAGAGGCCTTGGCATTAGAGGCACCATCGGCAGCGGCAGCGGCAAGGCAATAGAGGCTCTGGCGGTGGAGGCACCAGCAGCAGTGGAAAAGGCGGTAAAGGCATTAGAGGAACCAGCGGCAGCAGCAGACACCCAGGCGGAAGAGGCTCAGGCGGCAGAGAACCAACGGCAGCGGCAGAGGCCAAGGCGGAAGAGGCTCAGGTGGCGGAGGCACCAGCGGCAGCAGCAGAAGCTCAGGTAGTACAGATTCGGGCAATGCTGGCACCAGCGGCAGCAGCAGAGGCGCAGACGGTAGAGGCTGAGGCAGCAGTGGCCTAGGCAGTAGAGACTTTCGAGGTGGAGGCACCAGCGGCAGAGGACCAGGCAGTAGAGGCTCTGGTGGTGGAGGCACCAGCGGCAGTGACAGAGACCCAGGTGGCAGAGGCTCTGGCGGTGGAGGCAACTGTGGCAGCATTAGGGGCCCAGGCAGTAGAAGCTCTGGCAGCGGAGGCACCAGTGGCAGCGGCAGAGGCCCGGCGGAAGAGGCTCTGGTGGAGAAGGCACCTGCAGCAGTGGCAGCGGCCCAGGCAGTAGTCGCTCTGGTGGCGGAGGCAACAGCAGCAGCGGCAGAGACTCAGGCGGTAGAAGCTGAGGCGGTGGAAGCACCAGCGGCAGTGGCCCAGGCGTTAGAGGCCCCAGCGGCTGCAGCAGCAGCTAGGGTGCTAGAGGCAATGGCAGTGGTGGCACCAGCGACGGCGGCAGAGGGCCAGGTGGTAGAGGCTCTGGCGGCGGAGGCACCAGTGGCTGTGTCTGAGGCCCAGGTGGCAGAGGAACCAGCGGCAGTGGCAGCGGCAGAGGCCTTGGCGTTAGAGGCACCATCGGCAGCGGCTGCCGCAAGGCAATAGAGGCTCTGGCGGTGGAGGCACCAGCAGGAGTGGAAAAGGCGGTAAAGGAACCAGCGGCAGCGGCAGACGCTCAGGCGGAAGAGGCTCAGGTGGCGGAGAACCAGCGGCAGAGGCAGAGGCCCAGGCGGAAGAGGCTCAGGCGGCGGAGGCACCAGCGGCAGAGGTCCAGAAGGAAGAGGCTCAGGTGGCGGTGGCACCAGTGGCAGCGGCAGAAGCTCAGGTGGTACAGATTCGGGCAACGGTGGCACCAGCGGCAGCAGCAGAGGCGCAGGCGGTAGAGGCAGAGGCACCAGCGGCAGCAGCAGAGACCCAGGTGGCAGAGGCTCTGGCGGTGGAGGCAACAGTGGCAGCAGCAGAGGCCCAGGCAGTATAAGCTCTGGCAGCAGAGGCACAAGCGGCAGTGGCAGAGGCACAGGTGGTAGAGGCTCCAGCGGCGGAGACATCAGCGGCAGCGGTAGGAACCAGCGGCAGAAATATGGTGGTAGAGATTCAGGCGATGGAGGCACCAACGGCAGAGGCAGAGCCCAGACTGTAGAGGTTCTGGTGGTGTAGGCAGCAGCGGCAGCGGCAGAGGCCCAGGCAGTAGAGACTTTGGTGACGGAGGAATCAGCGGCAGCGTCAGAGGCGCAGGTGGAAGAGCCTGAGGCAGCAGAGGCACCAGCGGCAACGGACAAGGTTGTAGATGTAATGGCAGTGGAGGCAATAGCGGCAGAGGCCCAGGCGGAATAGGCTCAGGCGGCCCAGGCACCAGAGGCAGCAGCAGGAACCAGCGGCAGAAGCGCAGTTGGTAGAGATTCAGGCAATGGAGGCACTAGCAGCAGCGGCAGAGCCCAGGCGGTAGAGGCTCTTGTGGCGGAGGCACCAGCGGCAGGGGCAGAGGCCCAGGCCCTAGAGGATCTGGCTGCAGAGGCACGAACGGCAGCGGCAGAGACTCTGGCGGTGGAGGCACCAGCGGCCGGCGGCAGAGGCCCAGGCGGTAGAGACTCTGGCGGCGGAGGCACCAACGGCAACGGCAGAGACCAAGGTGACAGAGGCTGAGGCACCAGCATCAGGGACAGATGACCAGGCGGCAAAGGCTGAGGCGGCGGTTGTACAGCGGCAGCGGCAGAGGCCCAGGCGTTAGAGATTTTGGCGGCGGAGGCACCAGCGGCAGTGGCAGAGGCGCAGGCGGTAGGAGCTAAGGTGAAGAGGCTCTGGCGGCGGAGGCACCAGCGGCAGCGGCAGAGGCCCATGCGGTAGAGGCCCAGGTGGTGGAGGCACCAGCGGCAGAGGCCTTGCTGTTAGACGCAACATCGGCAGCGGCAGCAGCAATGCGATAGAGGCTCTGGAGGAGGAGACGCCAACGGCAGTGACAGACACGGTAGCCGCAGAGGCCCAGGCATTAGAGGCCCCAGCGGCTGCAGCAGCAGCCAAGGCGGAAGAGGCAATGGCAGTGGTGGCACCTGCAGCAGCGGCAGAGGGCCAGCCGGTATAGTCTCTGGCGATGGAGGCACCAGCGGCTGCGTCCGAGGCTCAGGTGGCGGAGGAACCAGCGGCAGTGGCAGCGGCAAGGCAATAGAGGCTTTGGTGATGGAGGAACCAGCAGGAATGGAAAAGGTGGTAAAGGCGTTAGAGGAACCAGCGGCAGGGGCAGAGGCCCAGGTGGTAGAGGCTGAGGCAGTGCAGGCACCAGCGGTAGTGGTTGGAACTAGTGGCAGAAATGCAGGTGGTAGAGATTCGGGAGACGGAGGCACCAGCGTCGGAGGCCCAGGCAGAAGAGACTTTGGCGGCGGAGGAACCAGCAGCAGCATTAGAGGCGCAGGTGGAAGAGGCTGAGGCGGCGAAGGCACCTGCACCAGTGGCAGAGGCCCAGGCATTAGAGATTTTGGCGGCGGAGGCACCAGCGACAGTGGCAGAGGCGCAGGCAGTAGAGGCTGAGGCGGTGGAGGCACCAGCGGCAGCGGTAGAGGCCCAGGCGATAGAGGCTCAGGCGGAGGAGGCACCAGTGCCAGAGGTGCAGGTTGTAGAGATTCAGATGGCAGAGGCAGCAGCAGCAGTGTCAGAGGCCCAGGCGGTAAAGGATCTGGCGGAGGAGGGGCCAGCGGCAGCGGCAAAGGCCCAGACGGTAGAGGCTCAGGCATTGGAGGCACAAGCGGAAGCGGCAGCAGCAGGAACCAGCGGCAGAAGGGCAGGTGATAGAGATTCAGGCTACGGAGGCACCAGCAGCAGCGGCAGACCCCAGGCAGTATAGGCTCTGGCGGCATAGGCCCCAGCAGCAGAGGCCCAGGCGGTAGAGGCACCAGCGGCAGCGGACAAGGCAGTAGAGGCAATGGCAGTGGAGGCACCAGCGGCAGAGGCCCAGGCGGTAGAGGCTCTGGCGGCAGAGGCATCAGCAGCAGAGGCAGAGGCGGTAGAGGCTCTTGTGGCGGAGGTACCAGTGGCACTGGCAGAGGCCCAGGCGGTAGAAGCTCAGGCGGCGGAGGCACCAGCAGCAGCGGCAGAGGCCAGGCAGTAGAAGCTCAGGCGGCGGAAGCACCAGCGGCAGCGGCAAAGGCCCAGGTGATAGAGGCTCAGGCTGCGGAGTTTCCAGCTGCAGTGGCAGAGGCCAAGTCGGTATAGGCTCTGGCGGCGGAAGCACCAGTTGCAGCGGCAAAGGCCCAAGCGATAGAGGCTCAGGCTGCGGAGTTTCCAGCAGCAGCGGCAGAGGCCCAGTCGGTAGAGCCTCTTGCGCAAAATAACTTTATATAGGTTTTAACAACAAAAACAAAAAACTCTTTTTACATTATACTATATCAATAAGCATCACCCATCCATTGACCCAACCACCAGGGAACTGAGAGAGCTAGGTGCTGCTCTAGATATACTGTACCCAATTGCTGACACACCTTAATTAACAAAACTTAACAGCACCTGCTATAGTGCTTCACAGCTATAAAGCTAGGTCGGGTTATTTGCTCTGGCCCTTAAAGAAATATACATCTTGTGGAACAATAATTAAAACCTTCGAATTAAAGAGACGATTCAACAGCAGCGGCAGAGGCAAAGGTGGTAGAGGTTCAGGCAACAGAGGCACCAGCGGCAGAGGCCCAGGCGGTAGAGGCTGAGGCAACGGCAGAGGCCCAGGCGGTAGAGGCTCAGGCGGCGGAAGTACCAGCAGCAGGCAGAAGAGGCTCAGGCGCAGGAGGCACCAGGGGCAGCAGCAGAGGCCCAAGCGGAAGAGGCTCAGGTGGCGCAGGCACCAGCGGCAGAAGGGCAGGTAGTAGAGATTCAGGCGATGGAGGCATCAGCGGGGCGGGAGAGCCCAAGCGGTACAGGTTCTGGTGGCGGAGGCACCAGCAGCAGCGGCAGAGGCCAGGCGGTAGAGGCTGAGGCGGCGGTTGCACCAACGGCAGAGGCCCAGGCTGTTGAAACTTTGGCGGTGGAGAAACGAGCGTCAGCGTCAGAGGCGCAAGTCTAAGAGGTGGAGGCGGGGAAGGCACTAGTGGCAGCGACAGAGGCCCAGGTGGTAGCGGCTCAGGTGGCGGAGGCACCAGCGGCAGCAGCAGAGGCCCAGGCGGTAGAGGCACCAGCGGCAGCGGCCAAGGCGGTAGAGGCACTGGCAGTGGAGGCACCAGCGGTAGCGGCCCAGGCGGAAGAGGCTCTGGTGGCGGAGGCACCAGCGGCAGGGGCAGAGGCCCAGGCGGTAGAGGCTGAGGCGGTGGCGGCACCAGTGGCAGCGGCAGAGGCCCAGGCAGTAAAGGATCTGGCGGAGGAGGGACCAGCGGCAGTGACAGAGGCCCAGACAGTAGAGGCTCAGGCGTTGGAGGCACAAGCGGAAGCGGCAGCAGCAGGAACCAGCGGCAGAAGCGCAGGTGGTAGAGATTCAGGCGACGGAGGGACCAGAAGCAGCGGCTGATCCCAGGCGGTAGAGGCTCTGGGGACGGAGGCACCAGCAGCAGGGGCAGAGGCCCAAGTTGTAGAGGCTGAGGTGGCGGAGTCACCAGCAGGAGCGGCAGAGGCCCAGATGGTAGAGGCGGAGGAGGCACCAACAGTAGTGGCATAGGCCCAGGCGGTAGAGGCTCAGGCAGCGGAGAAGCCAGCGGTAGCGGTAGGATCCAGCGGCAGAAACACAGGTGGTAGAGATTCAGGTGACGGAGGCACCAGCGGCAGTGGCAGAGCCCAGATGGTAGAGGCTCTAGTGACGGAGGCACCAGCGGCAGGGGCCCAGGCGGAAGAGGCTCAAGCAGTGGAGGCACCAGCAGCAGCAGCAGCAGCAGCAGAGGCCCAGCTGGAAGAGGCTCAGGCGGCCCAGGCACCAGCGGCAGCAGCAGGAACCAGCGGCAGAAGCGCAGAAGTCGCAGAAGCACCAGCAGGAGATGCCGTGGCGGTAGAGGCTCTGGCAGCGGAGGCACACGTGGTAAGGTTCTGGCGGTGGAGGTACCAGTGGCAGCGGCAGAGGCCCAGGCCTCTCACGGCAGATTAACCAGCGGCAGCGGCAGAGGCCCAGACGATGCAGCCTGGGCGGTGGAGGAACCAGCAGGAGCTGCATAGGCCCAGGCGGTAGAGACTTTGGTGGTGGAGGCACCAGTGGCAGCCGCAGAGGCCCAGGCGTAATAGGCTCTGGCGTCGGAGGCACCAGGGGCAGCAGCAGAGGCCCAGGCGGTAGAGGCACTAGCGGCTGCAGCAGCAGCCAAGGCAGTAGAGGCAATGACAGTGGAGGCACCACCAGCAGCGGCAGAGGCCCAGGCGGTAGGGGCTAAGGTGAAGGAGGCACCAGTGGCAGCGGCAGAGGCCCAGGTGGTAGAGGCTCAGGCGGCGGAGACACCAGCGGCAGCGCTAGGAACCAGCGGCAGAAACGTAGGTGGTAGAGATCCAGGTGATGGAGGCACCAGCGGCAGCGGCAGAGCCCAGACTGTAGAGGCTCTGGTGGCAGCGGCAGCGGCAGAGACCCATGCGGTAGAGACTTTGGCGATGGAGGAACCAGCGGCATCATCAAAGGCACAGGTGGAAGAGGCTGAGGCAGCAGAGGCACCAGCGGCAACGGCCAAGGTGGTAGAGGTAATGGCAGTGGAGGCAGCAGCAGCAGAGGCCCAGGCGGAATAGGCTCAGGCGGCCCAGGCACCAGCGGCAGCAGCAGGAACCAGCGGCAGAAGCGCAGTTGGTAGAGATTCAGGCAATGGAGGCACCAGCATCAGCGGCAGAGCCCAGGCGGTAGAGGCTCTTGTGGTGGAGGCACCAGCGGCAGCGGCAGAGGCCCAGGCCCTAGAGGATCTGGCTGCGGAGGCACAAACGGCAGCGGCAGAGACTCTGGCGAAAGAGGTGTGGCAGCGGAGGCGGCGGAGGCACCAGTGGCAGAGGCCCAGGCGGTAGAGAATCTGGCGGCGGAGGCACCAACGGCAGCGGCAGAGACCCAGGCGACAGAGGCTGAGGCGATGGAGGCACCAGCTGCTGCGTCCGAGGCCCAGGTGGCGGAGCAACCAGTGGCAGCGGCAGAGGCCTTGGCGTTAGAGGCACCATCGGCAGCAGCAGCAGCAAGGCAATAGAGGCTCTCGCGGTGGAGGCACCAGCAGCAGTGGACCAGGCGGTGAAGGCTGTGGCGGCAGAGGCACCAGCGGCAGAGGCTGACGTGGTAGAGGCTCTTGCAGCGGAGGCACAAGTGGCAGCGGCAGAGGACCCGGCGCTAGAGGATCTGGCGGCAGAGGCACGAGCGGCAGCGGCAGGGGCCCAGGCAGTGGAGGCTAAGGTGGAGGAGGCACCAGCGGCAGAAGCGCAGGCGGTAGAGGCTCTGGCATCAGAGGCACCAGCGGCAGCACAGAAGCCCGGGCGGTAGAGGCACAGGCTGCGAAGGCACCAGGGGCAGCCGCAGAAGCCCAGGCGGTAGAGGCTCAGGTGTCGGAGCCACTAGCGGCAGAAGCACAGGTGGTAAAGATTCAGGCGACGGAGGCACCAGCGGCAGAGGCCCAGGCGGTAGAGGCTCTGGCGGTGGAGACACCAACGGCAGAGGCAGAGACCCAGGCGCCAAAGGCTCTGGAGCAGGAGGGAACATCGGCAGCGGCAGAGGCCCAGGCGGTAGAGGCTCAGGCGGCGGAGGCACCAGCGGCAGCAGTAGAGGCCCCGGCGGTAGAGGCACCAGCGGCAGCGGCCCAGGCGGTAGAGGCACTGGCAGTGGAGGCACCAGCGGTAGCGGCACAGGCGGAAGAGGCTCAGGCGGCCCAGGCACCAGCGGCAGCAGCAGGAACCAGCGGCAGAAACGCAGGTGGTAGAGATTCAGGCGACTGAGGCACCAGCGGCAGAGCCCAGACGGTAGAGGCTCTGGTGACGGTGGCAGCAGCGGCAGGGGCCCAGGCGGAAGAGGCTCAAGCAGTGGAGGTACCAGAAGCAGCGGCAGAGGCCCAGGTGGAAGAGGCTCAGGCGGCCAAGGCACCAGTGGCAGAGCCCAGGCAGTAGAGGCTCTGGTGGCGGAGGCACCAGCGGCAGGGGCAGAGGCCCAGGCGGTAGAGGCTGAGGCGGTGGCGGCACCAGCGGCAGCGGCAGAGACCCAGGCGCCAAAGGCTCTGGAGCAGGAGGGAACATCGGCAGCAGCAGAGGCCCAGGCGGTAGAGGCTCAGGCGGCGGAGGCACCAGCGGCAGCAGTAGAGGCCCCGGCGGTAGAGGCACCAGCGGCAGCGGCCCAGGCGGTAGAGGCACTGGCAGTGGAGGCACCAGCGGTAGCGGCACAGGCGGAAGAGGCTCAGGCGGCCCAGGCACCAGCAGCAGGAACCAGCGGCAGAAACGCAGGTGGTAGAGATTCAGGCGACTGAGGCACCAGCGGCAGAGCCCAGACGGTAGAGGCTCTGGTGACGGTGGCAGCAGCGGCAGGGGCCCAGGCGGAAGAGGCTCAGGCGGCCAAGGCACCAGTGGCAGAGCCCAGGCAGTAAAGGCTCTGGTGGCGGAGGCACCAGCGGCAGCGGCCCAGACAGTAAAGGATCTGGCGGAGGAGGGACCAGCGGCAGTGACAGAGGCCCAGACGGTAGAGGCTCAGGCGTTGGAGGCACAAGCGGAAGCGGCAGCAGCAGGAACCAGCGGCAGAAGCGCAGGTGTTAGAGATTCAGGCGACGGAGGCACCAGCGGCAGCGGCAGACCCCAGGCGGTAGAGGCTCTGGCGGCAGAGGCCCCAGCAGCAGGGGCAGAGGCCCAAGTTGTAGAGGCTGAAGCGGCGGAGTCACCAGCAGGAGCGGCAGAGGCCCAGATGGTAGAGGCGGAGGAGGCACCAACAGTAGTGGCATAGGCCCAGGCGGTAGAGGCTCAGGCAGCGGAGAAGCCAGCGGTAGCGGTAGGAACCAGCGGCAGAAACACAGGTGGTAGAGATTCAGGCGACGGAGGCACCAGCGGCAGACCCCAGGCGGTAGAGGCTCTGGCGGCAGAGGCCCCAGCAGCAGAGGCCCAGGCCCAGGCCCGGGCCCAGGCTGTAGAGGCAATGGCAGTGGAGGCACCAGCGGCAGAGGCAGAGGCCCAGGTGGTAGAGGCTCTGGCGGCAGAGGCATCAGCAGCAGAGGCGGTAGAGGCTCTAGCGGCGGAGGCACCTGTGGCACTGGCAGAGGCCCAGGCGGTAGAAGATCAGGCGGCGGAGGCACCAGCAACAGCGGCAGACGCCCAGGCAGTAGAGGCTCTGGCGGTGGAAGCACCAGCGGCAGCGGCCCAGGCCCAGGCGATAGAGGCTCAGGCTGTGGAGTTATCAGCAGCAGCGGCAGAGGCCCAGTCGGTAGAGCCTCTTGCGCAAAATAACTTTATCTAGGTTTTAAAAACAAAAACAAAAAACTCCTTTTACATTATACTATATCAATAAGCATCACCCATCCATTGACCCAACCACCAGGGAACTGAGAAAGCTAGGTGCTGCTCTATATATACTGTACCCATTTGCTGACACACCTTAATTAACAAAACTTAAGAGCACGTGCTATACTGCTTCACAGCTGTAAAGCTAGGTTGGAGTATTTGCTCTGGCCCTTAAAGAAATTGTGGAACAATAATGAACCTTCAAATTAAAGAGACGATTCAACAGCAGCAGCAGAGGCGAAGGTGGTAGAGGTTCAGGCAGCAGAGGCACCAGCGGCAGCGGCCCAGGCGGTAGAGGCTGAGGCGGCGAAGGCACCAGAGGCCCAGGCGGAAGAGGCTCTGGCAGCGGAGGCACCAACTGCATCGGCAGAGGCCCAGGCGGTAGAGGCACCAGCGGCAGAGGCAGAGCCCGGGCGGTAGAGGCTCTGGCCGCGGAGGTACCAGTGGCAGTGGCAGAAGTCCAGACGGAAGGGGCTCAGGCGGTGGAGGCACCAGTGGCAGCGGCAGAAACACAGGTGGTACAGATTTAGGCGACGGAGCCACCAGCGGCAGCGGCAGAGGCCCAGGTAGTAGAGCCTCTTGCAGCAGAAGCATCAGCGGCAGCGGCAGAGGCCCAGGCGGTAGAGGCTTTGGCACCGGAAGTAACTAGCTGCAGTGGCAGAGGCCCAGGCGGTAGGGAATAAGGTGAAGGAGGCACCAGCGGCAGCGGCAGAGGCCCAGGAATTAGAGGCTATGGCGGTGGAGGCACTAGCGGCAGCGGCGAAGGCCCAGGAGGCAGAGGCTCTGGCAACGGAGGCACCAGCAGCAGTGACAGAGATCCAGGCAGTAGAGGCTCTTGAGGCGGAGGCACCAGTGGCAGTGGGATAGGCCCAGGCAGTAGAGGATTAGGCGGCGGAGGCACCTTCGCCAGCGGCAGAGGCCCAGCAAACAGTCTGTGAGCACCTAGAAAGGAATGCTGTGATCACCAATAGTCAGCATGGATTTCTGAAAAATAAGTCATCTCAGACTAACCTGATCTCGTTTTTTGACAGAACTACAATCCTGGTAGATGAAGGGAATGCAGTGGATGTAGCCTACCTTGATTTCAGCAAGGCATTCGACAAGGTGCCCCATGAGATTCTTGTAAAGAAGCTGGTAAAATGCGGTCTTGACTATGCTACCACTCAGTGGATTTGTAACTGGCTGACTGACCGAACCCAAAGGGTGCTCATCAATGGTTCCTCTTCATCCTGGAGAAGAGTGACTAGTGGGGTGCCACAGGGTTCTGTCTTGGGCCCGGTCTTATTCAACATCTTTATCAACGACTTGGATGATGGACTCAAGGGCATCCTGATCAAATTTGCAGATGACACCAAACTGGGAGGGGTGGCTAACACCCCAGAGGACAGGATCACACTTCAAAACGACCTTGACAGATTAGAGAACTGGGCCAAAACAAACAAGATGAATTTTAACAGGGAGAAATGTAAAGTATTGCACTTGGGCAAAAAAATGAGAGGCACAAATACAAGATGGGGGACACCTGGCTTGAGAGCAGTACATGTGAAAAGGATCTAGGAGTCTTGGTTGACCACAAACTTGACATGAGCCAACAGTGTGACGCGGCAGCTAAAAAGCCAATGCAATTCTGGGCTGCATCAATAGGAGTATAGCATCTAGATCAAGGGAAGTAATAGTGCCACTGTATTCTGCTCTGGTCAGACCTCACCTGGAGTACTGTGTCCAGTTCTGGGCACCACAGTTCAAGAAGGACACTGACAAACTGGAACGTGTCCAGAGGAGGGCAACCAAAATGGTCAAAGGCCTGGAAACAATGCCTTATGAGGAACGGCTAAGGGAGCTGGGCATGTTTAGCCTGGAGAAGAGGAGGTTAAGGGGTGATATGATAGCCATGTTCAAATATATAAAAGGATGTCACATAGAGGAGGGAGAAAGGTTGTTTTCTGCTGCTCCAGAGAAGCGGACACGGAGCAATGGATCCAAACTACAAGAAAGAAGATTCCACCTAAACATTAGGAAGAACTTCCTGACAGTAAGAGCTGTTTGACAGTGGAATTTGCTGCCAAGGAGTGTGGTGGAGTCTCCTTCTTTGGAGGTCTTTAAGCAGAGGCTTGACAACCATATGTCAGGAGTGCTCTGATGGTGTTTCCTGCTTGGCAGGGGGTTGGACTCGATGGCCCTTGTGGTCTCTTCCAACTCTATGATTCTATGATTCTATGATTCTATGATTCTAAGGGCTGGCGGCGGAGGAACCAGCGGCAGCGGCAAAGGTCCAGGCGGTACAGGCTCAGGCGGTAGAGGCTCATACGGCGGAGGTACCATCGGCAGCGGCAGAGGCCCAGGCGGTAGAGGCTCAGACTGCAGAGGCATCAACAGCAGAGGCCCACACATTAGAGGCTCTGGCGGCGGAGGCATCAGCGGCAGCAGCAGAGGCCCAGGCAGCAGAGGCTCTGACGATGGAGGCACCAGCGGCGGCAGCAGCGGCCCAGGCAGTAGTGGCTCTGGCGGCAGAGGCAACAGCGGCAGCGGCAGAGACTCAGGCGGTAGAAGCTGAGGCGGTGGAAGCACCAACGGCAGCGGCAAAGGCCTAGGCGGTAGAGGGTCTGGCGGTGGAGGCACCAGCAGCAGTGGCAGAGGCCCAGGAATTAGAGGCTATGGCGGCGGAGGCATCAGCAGCCAAGGCCCAGGCAGTAGAGACTCTGGCGGCGAAGGTACTAGCGATGGAGGCCCAGAAGGCAGAGGCTCTGGCGGCGGAGGCACCAGCGGCAGTGACAGAGACCCAGGCAGTAGAGGCTCAGGCGGCAGAGGCCGCAGAAGCACCAGCGGGAGAGGCCGCAGCGGTAGAGGCTCTTGAGGCGGAGGCACCAGTGGCAGTGGGATAAGCCTAGGCGGTAGAGGATCAGGCAGCGGAGGCACCAGCGGCAGCGGCATAGGTCCAGGCGGTAGAGGCTCTGGCAGCGGAGGCACACGTGGTAAGGTTCTGGTGGCGGAGGCACCATCGGCAGTGGCAGAGGCCCAGGCCTCTCGCGGCGGATTCACCAGCGGCAGCGGCAGAGACCCAGACGATGCAGCCTGGGCGGCGGAGGAACCAGCAGGAGCTGCTGAGGCCCAGGCAGTAGAGGCTTTGGCGGTGGAGGCAGCAGTGGCAGCCGCAGAGGCCCAGGCGGTAGAAGATCAGGCTGCGGAGGCAGCAGTGGCAGCCACAGAGGCACAGGCAGAAGAGGCTCTGGCGGAGGAGGCACCAGCGGCAGTGGGAGAGGCCCAGGCGGCATTGGCTCTGGCAGCGGAGGCACCAGCGGGAGTGTCAGAGGTGTGGGATGTAAACACAGGAGCAGTCAATGACAACATTCCTAGAGTGTACATGTTAGAACATGGGGAGGGATGTCTGTCCAGCAAGCAGGTAAACTTCCTGGGGACGGACTTCCTCTGCATGTGACCAGAGGTGGGTGTGGCCTCACCTGTGCAGGTAATGACAAAAGCACAGGGCAGGCAGCCATCTCTCTCTCTCTGCCATCTTCCTTCGATGAGGAAACATCTAAGGATGCTCTCTTGGCTCCCAGCCAAGAGAGGAGATAAGGACTATCTTGCTACAAGATAGATTCTGAATGTATGTAACCTTTTTAAGCCTGTCTGTCTTCTGGGATCATATTGTGAACAGAACGTGAGTAAACCCTTTTATGCTTTTATAAAGACTGTGTCGTGTCTTGTATTTTAAGAGGGAACAAAAGGGGAAATTACCAGGGTAATTATTATAGAGGTTCTAGCGAACCTGTGCACACGTTACCGTTGCGAACTTAAAGGGGAATGTTTATAAACTCTGCTGATATTTTGTGAACTTGTTAGCACAAGTTGGATAAGAATATAATTAGTCAATATATCCTCTCCTGCACCCCAGAACATTCCCACAAGAGGCCCAGGCGGTAGAGGCACCAGCGGCTGCAGCAGCAGCCAAGGCGGTAGAGGCAATGGCAGTGGAGGCACCAGCAGCAGCGGCAGAGGCCCAGGTGGTAGAGGCTCTGGCGGCGGAGGCACCAGCGGCTGCGGCAGAGGCCCACGTGGTAGAGGCCAAGGTGGTGGAGGCACCATCGGCAGCGGCAGCAGCAATGCGATAGAGGCTCTGACAGTGGAGGCACCAGCAGCAGCGTCAGAGGCCCAGGCGATAGAGGCTCAGGCTGCAGAGGCACCAGCGGCAGCCGCAGAGGCCCAGGCAGAAGAGGCTCTGGTGGCCGAGGCACCAGCGGCCGTGGCAGAGGCCCAGGCGGTAGAGGCTCTGGCGGCGGAGACACCAACGGCAGCGACAGACACCCAGGCGGCAGAGACTCTGGTGGCAGAGGTGGCAGCGGCAGAGGCCCAGGCGTTAAGAGATTTTGGCGGCGGAGGCACCAGCGGCAGTGGGAGATGCGCAGGAGGGAGTGGCTGAGGGGGCTAAGACACCGGTGGCAGCGGCAGAGGCTCAGGCGGAAGAGGCACCAGTGCAGTGGTAGGGCCCCAGGCTCTGGAGGCTGAAGCGGTAGATGTACCCGCGGCAGAGGCCCAGGCAGTAGAGGCTCTGGGGGCGGAGGCCCCAGCGGCAGCGGCAGAGGCACAAGCGGTAGAGGCTCTGGAGGTGGATGCACCAGCGTCAGCGGTAGAGGCCCAGGCAGAAGAGGCGGAGGCGGGGGAGGCATAAGCCCCAGGGGCAGAGGCCCAGATGGTAGAGGCTCAGGCTGCGGAGGCACCAGCGGTAGTGGCAGAGGCGCAGGCGGAAGAGGCTGAGGTGGCGGAAGCACCAGCGGCAGCTGCAGAGGCCCAAGCGGTAGAGGCTCAGGGGACAATCGGGATGAGCGGCAGCAGGAGAGGCGCAGGTGGGAGAGGTTCAGGTGGCGGACGCAACAGCGGCAGCGGTAAAGTAGAGGGCGGTAGAGGATGAGGCGGCTGAGGCACCAGCGGCAGCAGGAGAGGAGCAGGTGGTAGAGGCTGAGGCTGAGGCGGCGGAGGCACCAGTGGCAGCGGCAGAGGCCCAGGCGGTAGAGATTCAGGCGACAGAGGCACCAGGGGCAGCAGGAGAGGAACAGGCGGTAGAGGCTTAGGCTGCGGAGGCACCAGTGGCAGCGGCAGGGGTGCAGGAAGTAGAGGCTCAGGTGGCAGAGGCACCAGCAGCAACATCAAAGGCGCAGGTGTTACAGGCTCAGGCGGTGGAGGCACCAGAGGCAGAGGCGCAGGTGGTAGAGGCTGAGGCTGAGGTGGCGGAGGCACCAGCGGAAGCGGCAGAGACCCAGGAGGTAGAGGTTCAGGAGGCAGAGGCAGCAGCAGAAGCGGAAGAGGTCCAGGCAGTAGAGGCTCTGGCGGTGGAGGAAGCAGCGGAAGAGGCAGAGGCAAAGGCAGTAGAGATTCTGGCGGCGGACCCACCAGCGGCAGCAGCAGAGCCCCAGGTGGTAGGGACTCTGGCATTGGAGGCACCAGTGGCAGAGACCTAGGCAGTAGAGGCTCTGGCGGCGGAAGCACCAGAGCCAGCGGCAGAGGCAAAGGCAGTAGAGATTCTGGTGGCAGAGCCACCAGCGGCAGCAGCAGAGCCCCAGGTGGTAGGGACTCTGGCATCGGAGGCACCAGTGGCAGAGGCCCAGACGGTAGAGGGTCAGGTGGCGGAGGCAATAGCGGAAGCGGCAGAGGCCCAGGTGTTATATGTCTGGCGGCAGAGGCACCAGCGGCAGAGGCCCAGGCTGTAGAGTCTCTGGCTGCGGAAGCACAAGCGGCAGTGGGAGAGGCGTAGGATGTACTGCCTGGGCAGCGGAGGCACGAGCGGCAGCAGCAAAGGCTCAGGCTCAATGGGTGAGGTGGTGGAGGCACCAGTGTTAGTGGCAGAGGCCCAAGCGGTAGAGGCTCAGGCTGCGGAGGCACCAGCACAGCAGCAGAGGCCCAGGCGGTAGAGACTCTGGGAGCGGAGGCACCAGCTGCTGCGGCAGAGGTACCAGCGGCAGAGGCCCAGAAAGTAGAGGCTATGGCGGCGGAGGCACCAGCGGCAGCGGCAGAGGCTCAGGCAGTAGAGATTCAGGTGGCTGAGGCACCAGCGGCAGCTGCAGAGGCACAGGTGGTAGAGGTAATGGCGGCGGAGGGAACAGCGGCAGAGGTGCAGGCAGTAGAGGCTCAGGTGGCAGAGGCACCAGCGGCAGCAGCAGAGGCGGTGGTAGAGGCTGAGGTGGCGGAGGCACTAACGACAGCGGCAGAGGCTGAGGCGGTGGAGGCACCAGCGGCAGAGGTGCAGGTGGTAGAGGCTGAGGTGGCAGAAGAACCAGAGGCAGAGTGAGAGGAGCAGGCGGTAGAGGCTCAGGAGAGCGGAGGCACTAGCGGCAGCGGCAGAATATAAACACTGCTTTAGTGTTTATATTCACTTCTAATTTTTCCAAGATATCAATTATATTCCTCAAATTGTCAGACAAATGTCTTCCTGGGAGAAAGCCCGCTTGGTCTTTGTGAATCTCTTCCATCAACACTTTTTAAATCTCTTCGCCAAAATATCTGCAAAAATTTTGTAATCCACATTAAGTAATGATATAGGGCGGTAGTTCTTAAGTTGTGTCTTTTCAGTCTCTGTTTTTGGTACAAGTGTAATATATACTTCTTTCCACGACTCTGGTGCTCTCTTCCCCTCCATTATTTCGTTGCAGACCTCTTTCAATGGTTGAATTAACCATTCTTTTAAAGATCTGTAGTATCTAGAGGTCAAGCCGTCTGGTCCTGGAGATTTACCCAGTTGCACGTTTTGAATGGCACCTTCTATTTCCTGTTCAGTTATTCTGAAAATTAGTCTATTTTCTTGAGATATTTTTTGTAGTCCATTTGTTTTCAAAAATTGGTCTAAATCTGTTTCTTTCACTGGCCCTTGAGTATATAGTCTTTTAAAATACTTCTGGAAACAACTTCTAATCTCCGCAGGGTTCTGTATATTCCTTCCTTCCACTTCTAAATTCGTAATCGTATTTAGTTTTTGTCTCTTTTTCATTTGCCACGCCAACAATTTGCCACATTTATTGGCCGATTCAAAAGACTTTTGTCTCATTTGTTTAATTTTCCGTTCTATTTCCTGATTCATTATTTTCATATATTGTACTTGATATAACTTTAACTCTCTCAGAATCTCTTGAGATTTAGGATTTACTCTCAGTCTTTTTTCACATTCATTTATTTTGTTCATAATTTTGTCCTTCTTCTCACTTTGAGTTCTTTTCTTTATCGCATTCTGTTGTATTAAGAACCTCTCATAACCGCTTTACTTGCATCCCAGATTACTCTTTTCTCCACGTTGGAACTAAGATTTATCTCGAAGTAATCTCTCAGAGTTTTTTGGGCCTTCTTAAGAAATTCTTCATCTCTAAATAAGGTGTCATTCATCTTCCATCTGAAGGAGCCAGTTGGTGTTAGTCTCATTTCCATCTTAACAGCATTGTGGTCGGAGCAAATTTTCGGGCAGATTTCCACCTTTCTTGTCTTTGGTGCCATTCCTCTAGTTATCCAAATTTGGTCAATTCTTGTCCAAGTCATTTTGGCTTCAGAAAAGAAAGTTCCCTCTTTAGCCAAGGGGTTTCTAATTCTCCAAATGTCCACTAAATCCAAGTTGTCTGTCATATCAAAAAAGGTTTTCGGTAGTCTACCATCCTTGGTGACTACCTGTCTTTGTGCCTTGTCCATATAAGTAGATACCACTCCATTCATATCTCCCATCAGAATCATGTTGTGATCCATATGGTCCATCAGGGTCTCATGCAACTTCTTAAAAAAATCAGATTTCCCGTCATTTGGTGCGTAAACTCCTACAATCAAAAATTTTTCTCCTTGTGTTTGAATTTCAATTGCCACAAATCTTCCTTGGTCATCTTTAAAAACAAATTTTGGTGATAAATTGTCTTTTGCGTAGATCACAACCCCTCTCTTTTAACTTTATCTGACGAAATAAATTCCTGACCAAGTCTTTTATTTATCAACAATTTCCTGTGTAATCTTGTTATATGTGTTTCTTGTAAACAAATTAGGTCCAATTGTTCCTTTTTTAATATATGGAATACTGACTTCCTTTTCTGAGGGGAATTCAAACCCCGACAGTTCCATGTTAAAAGTTGCAGGGCCATGATGTTATTGTTTTAGTTCTCCTCCTACTGCACCTAGTGCCTGTTCCTCATCCGTCGGTGGTATCCCTTCTTTCGAACGGTCTTTTGGTTCCGGAAATAGTTCTTTTTGTAGGTCTTCTCCGTGGTCTCTGCAGAATTTGTCTTTGTCGTCTTCCGATCTTATTTTCCTCTTCTTTCCTTTGTAGCTAAAAGACAGGCCTTGAGGTAGTTCCCACCTAAAGTTGATGTTGTTTCTTCTCAGCAGGATAACCAAGTCTTTGTATTTTGATCTGAGATCCAGAAGGTATTTCGGAATATCTGTGAATATTTCCACCCTTGTCCGATGGATTTCCAGTGTCTTCTTGAAATGTAGGCCCAAGATCTTATCCCTCTCTTCTTTTGTTCGAAAAGTAATCAGACAGTCTCTCACCTTCTTCTCTCCTCTTCTCCCAAGTCTGAAGGCATTTACTATTCTGAAACTGTCTTTTGCCAGTTCTGGATCCCAAAAGTCCAAAAATTCCTGCGTGAGAAATTCAGCTAGATTGTCCTTTTCCACCTCAGGTACCAATCTGACCCGCAAATTCACTTGCTTTTCCTTCAAATCTATCATAGACAGGGTTAATTTATGGTCTTCCAGTTGTTTATGCAGTGTTGGTAATTCCTCTTGAACCTCTTTAACTTCAGTAGCAGAAGTTGTAGCAATCTCTTTAGCCTCTTCAGCAATCTGGCGTGTTGAGGCCGATTCCTCTAATAATTTCTGAATAGTCTCTGTGTTAGTATTTACTTTCTGGCCCAGATTATTTATACTTGCAGTATTTTGATCAATCTTGTCACATGCCTCTGCTACTTGTTGACTTATTCTATTTAAAGATTCATTAACTTTGGCCAAAACTTGAGCAAAGGCGTCATCACTTGTCGTACTTTTTACCTTTAATTGTGCCGATGAGGCTGTTGTTGAGGTTCCAGAAGGGCCTGAGGCCGAAGATCTCCTTTGTAATCCTTCTTCTGTGCGAATAGTCCTCCCCGACCTTGTAGTCGATGCATCCGCCTTCTCTTTACCATCTGCCATTCCTTAGATAATGCTCAAGGTCAGTCACGTAGTTGAAATTAAACAGTGGAAATTTCCAACCAAGCAGTGTGAGAACTCCTCAAGCCCGCTACAGTTTCAATTATAACAAGTTGTAACAGTTCCAAATTCCACTAGGGGGACACTGTAAAAGTCATAAAAGTTCTTGGATACTTTAGTTTCTTTTTTAAGCCCCTCTAGTTTATTCAGGAAGAAAACAGTCTATTCACAATTTTTAACTTAGGACCAGGAGATATATATTCACATAATTTGTCCAAACTTTTATTTCCTGTGCAGGACTAGCTGTCAAAATATATTGCAAGACAGTACCTCTCTTTCTTTCCTAAGTTACCTCTGGAGATCCTTTCCCAGGGAATTGAATGATGGTTTAATCCCTTCTTTTCCACTTCTTTATGAAGAAATCACATCCACAATTCTCCCCCCTTTTCCCTCAATTTAAAGAGGGAAAAGTCCAGGTTGGATGATTGGATTAAAGTCCGCTAAAACGTGCTTTTCAAATGCTTCTGCTTTCAAGTTCAATGCTTTATTTTATCTACAAGGAAAGAGGCTGACTTCCTTTTTAAACCTCTTTCCGTTTTCGGCCAAATTCCAGTTTGTACAGTTCCAATTAGTCTATATCCTACTCACGGATCGTTGATTTTCAGGTCCAAATTTCAAGGAAGAAAGGCAGCGCTCTCCGGTCAACAGCTTGCGGCTTCACACCACGAACAAGCAGACAGCCCACAGCACAGCGCTCTCCCCCGCTCCGATTTCAAGCCCGTTGCTGGGCTTTTTACCGGGTTGGGGGGGCGCCGAATGTGCCCGCTGGGTCCCAGGCTCACAGGCTTCCCCCGCCTGTGATTTTTGAGGGTCCCCTGCTGCGCCGAAGCGGGATCCGACCCCTTTTTTCGTGGCGCTGATTTCCTCTAGTCGAGGAAATCCGCCATCGACCGCTGGCGCCGCCTCCGGAAGTTGTCTTCCAGTACTTTCCGATGAGTATTCTTGCTGCTGTTGTAGCATACATAAAAAAGGTTCTATCCTCCCTTCGCACCAATTGGCCGACCATGCCCAGAAGGAAGGCCCCTGGTTTCTTCTGGAAGGTATACACATTGTTAAAACCTTCTAAATCCAAAATGTCCGTGTTTTCAAGAAGCAGCCAATCTTTCAGCCAACAAAATGCGGCTGATTCATAATAAAGTTTAAAGTCTGGCAGGGCAAATCCACCTCTTTCTTTAGCATCAGTTAAAATCTTAAATTTTATTCTAGGCTTCTTGCAGGTCGGAGCCTAACAGTACAAATTGAGAGGCGGCGGAGGCACCAGCAGCAACGAAAGAGGCCCAGGTATGCCTAAGCGGCAGCGGCAGAGGCACCATCGGCAGCGGCAGTGGCCCAGGCGGTAGAGGCTGAGCTGACGGAGGCGCCATCAGTAGCGACAGAGGCCCAGGAGGTAAAGGTTCAGACTGCGGAGGCACCAGCGGCAGTGGCAGAGTCCCACGCGGTAGAGACTCTGGTGGCGGAGGCACCAGCGGCATCAGCACCAGTGGCAGGGGCAGAGGCTCAGGCTGCGGAGGCACCAGCGGCAGCGGCAGAGGCCCAGACGTTGAGGCTATGGCGGCAGAGGCACCAGCAGCAGAGACCCAGTCGGTAGAGGCTCAAGTGGCGGAGGCACCAGCATTAGCGGCAGAGTTGCAGGTGGTAGAGGCAGGCTCAGGCAGCGGAGGCACAAGCGGCAGTGGCAGAAGCCAAGGCAGTAGAGGTTCACGAGGTGGAGGCACTAGCGGCAGCGGCAGCGGCACAGGTGGTAGTGGCTGAAGCGGCGGAGACACCAGTGGCTGCGGCAGAGGTGCAGGTGGTAGAGGCTCAGGCGGCACAGGCGCCAGCGGCATCGGCAGAGGCTGAGGTGGCGGAGGCACCAGCGGTAGAGGCGCAGGTGGAAGAGATTCAGGCAGCAGAGGCACCAGCGACAGAGGCAGAGGCAGAGGTCCTAGTGGCTGAGGCAGCGGAGGCACTGGTGGCAGCTGAAGAGGTGCAGGTGGTAGAGGCTCAGGCGGAGGAGGCACCAGGGGCAGCTGGAGAGCTGAAGGTCGTAGAGGCTCAGGCGGCGGTCAGGACCAGCGGCTGCGGCAGAGGCACAGGTGATAGAGGCTCAGGCTGCAGAGGCACCAGCGGCAAAGGCAGAGGCGCAGGTGGTAGAGGCTCAGGCACCAGAGACACCAGCAGCAGATGTGCAGGTGGTAGAGGCTCAGGCGGTGGAGGCACCAGCTGCAGAGGCACAGGTGTAGAGGGTCAGGCGGCGGAGGGACCAGCGGCATCGGCAGAGGGGTAGGTGGCAGAGGCTCAGGGGGCGGAGGTGGTAGAGGCTCAGGGGGCGGAGGCACCAGCGGCAAAGGCAGAGGCGCAGGTGGTAGAGGCTCAGGCACCGGAGACACCAGCAGCAGATGTGCAGGTGGTAGAGGCTCAGGCGGTGGAGGCACCAGCGGCAAAGGCAGAGGGGTAGGTGGTAGAGGCTCAGGGGGCGGAGGCACCAGCGGCACGGCAGAGTCTCAGGTGGTAGAGGGTCAGACGGCGGAGCTGCAGCAGCAGACGCACAGGTGGTAGAAGCTTAGTTGGCGGCAGAGGCACCAGAGGCACCAGAGGCACCAGCGGCACCATCAGAGGTGCAGGTGGTAGAGGCTGAGGCGTAGGAGGCATCAGCCGCAGATTTGCAGGTGGTAGAGGCTCCGGCGGCAGAGGCACGAGTGGCAGTGGCAGAGGCACAGGTGGTAGAGTCTCACGTGGCGGAGGCACTAGCAGCAGCGGCTGAGGCCCAGATGGAAGATGCTCAGGCCATGGAGGCACCAGCTGCAGCGGCAGAGTCTCAGGAGGTAGAGGGTCAGTTGGCGGCAGAGGCACCAACGGCACCGTCAGAGGCCCAGGTGGTATAGGCTCAGGCGCTGGAGACACCAGTGGCAGATGTGCAGGTGGTAGAGGCTGAGGTGGCAGAGGCACCAGCAGCAGCGGCAGAGGCTCAGATGGCGGAGGCAGAGACACTAGTGTCTGCAGCAGAGGTGGAGGTGGTATGGATTCAGTTGGCGGAGGCACCAGCGTCAGCGGCAGAGGCGCAGGTGGTAGAGATTCAGGCAGCAGAGGCACCAGCGGCAGAGGCGGAGGTGGTAGAGGCTCAGGCGGGGAAGGCACCAGTGGCAGCGGCAGAGGCGCAGGTGGTAGAGGCTCAGATGGCGGAGGCAACAGCAGCAGTGGTAGAGGCCCCGGCGGTAGAGGTTCTGGCGGCGGAGGCACCAGCGGCAGTGGCATAGGCGTAGGTGGTAGAGGGTCAGGCGGCAGAGGCACCAGCGGCAGAGGCGGAGGTGGTAGAGGGTCAAGCGGTGGAAGCACCAGCGGCAGAGGCGCAGGTGGTAGAGGCTCATGCGGCGGAGGCACCAGCAGCACCGTCAGAGGTGCAGGTGGTAGAGGTTCAAGTGGCAGAGGTAGAGGTACCAGCGTCAGCAGCAGAGGCGGAGGTGGTAGAGCCTCAGGCGGCGGAGGCGTCAGCGGCAGAGGCTCATGTGGTAGAAGCTCAAGCGGCGGAGGCGTCAGCGGCAGTGGCAGAGATACAGGTGGTAGAGATTCATGCAGCGGAGGCACCAGCCCCAGAGGCGCAGGTGGTAGAGGCTCTGGCGGTGGAGCACCAGCAGCAGCAGCAGTGGCACAGGTGGTAGAGGCTCACGCGGCGGAGGCACCAGTCGCAGCAGTAGAGGCTCAGGCCACGGAGGCACCATCAGCAGAGGCGCAGATGAAGAGATTCAGGCGGCAGAGGCACCAGCAGCAGAGGCATGTTAGTTCCTGTTTTTCACAGTTTCTCACTGTTTCTCACTGTTTCTCACTGTTTTTCACAGTTTCTCACTGTTTCTCACTGTTTGTTTCTCACTGTTTCTCACTGTTTCTCACTGTTTCAAGAGTACAAAGGCCTCTCTGCGACCCTCTGAAGGCTCTGATCGAGAATAAGGAATATAGCATGCAGCAAGCACAGAGCCTTCAGCAACATGCAGTGACGGTGTATGGCTCAGATGCTATGCATTGGTATGAGCGTTACAAATGTACACATAGAATCAAAGAATCTTAGAGTTGGAAGGGACCCAATGGTCATCTAGTCCAACCTCCTGCAATGCTGTAATCTCAGCTAAATATCCATGACAGATGGCCATCCAACCACTGCTTCAAAACCTCCAAGGAAGGAGTGTCCACAACCTCCCAAGAGAGACTGTTCCACTATCAAACAGCAGAACCCCCTTAGAAGATTGATGAGAGACTGTCAGGCCTGTGAGAATTAATGGACAGACCTTAAGAACGTTCTGTATGGAAGTGTGGAAATGGCGTCTGTCTGTCTGATATGGCTCTTGGAGGAATGCAAAATCCACACAGGATATAACAACGTTTGTTTTTAACCCGCTTGCGGAGACTACCAAAGGTCACAAAAAAAGAAAGGAATATATGACAACAATAAGAAGATGAGGAAAATAATAAAGAGAAGATGGAACTGCACTGTGAATATTATTTGGACAGAATTGTGAACATCAAAGCAGCAGCAAGAGAGATGTTTGGATCCCTTTCCGAGCTCGAAGCATGGGTACCCCCAACAAAATTTTAAAAATTTGGCTGTGTAATTTGGAATTAATGTGATTTGATTGATTGGTTAATAAAAATTATATTAAAAAAAGAAGAAGAAGAAGAAAGGACACAGCATGGTATGGGTAGTAGTAGAGGGATAATAACCTCACTCCTCAAATGTTTATAAAGAGTGAAATCTAGAAGCACATGAGCTACAGATTCAATACTGCCATCTCCACATGGACATAATAAGCATTATCCATGCAACAGCCTACTGAGATCTCCTCTCAGTCTCCTCTTTTCCAGGGTAAACATATACAGGTCCTTCAAGGATTCCTCATAAGGTTTGGCTTATAAACTGCCATTTTCAGACCCTTAATCATCTTGGTTGCTGTCTTCTGCACACATCCCAGCATGTTAACATCCTACTTAAATTATGGTGCCCAGAGCTGAACACAGTATTCCAGGTGTAGTCTGACCCAGGCAGAATAGAGTGGAACTATTTCTTCCCTTGACCTGGACACTATCTTTTTGCTGATGCAGCCTAGAATAGCATTAGCTTTTTTGCTGCTGCATCATATTATTGATTCATGTTAAGCTTGTGGTCCACCAAGACCCCTAGATCCTTTTTACATGTACTGCTGGTAAGCTAGTTTCCTTGTTATCATCTGCAAAATAGTGGAGGGTGTATATTATTTCAGTGCCCCACCAGGAAAAGCATCACGTGCAGCATATCAGCATGTTGAATAAAGAATGAAGAAATGTCTCATAAAATACTCCCCTACTCTTTGGTCCTCCCCAATACCAAGAATAAGAGACATGGGAATCAATGTTTGAGTGAATTCAGGCCACAACTTTATTGACAACAGATGTAAGAGGTTTGGCATAGGCACTGGGTAGCCCCATCCCTTCCGACTCGCTGGTTGGAAGAACATGCATTTTGGGGTCAACTGAGACTGGTGGGTGGAATAGATATGGGAGGATGGCTCAGTCCCATGAGACTCTTCCTCTGTGGGTTTTGGGTTCCAGCCAAAAAGATTGGGTTGGATTGGATGACCCTCAGGGTCCCTTCCCATTCTCCCATTCCCATACCCACAGGTCTCAGGGCAGTTCACGAGACAGAGAAAGAGAGAAACTCACTCACACATACACACATATATATGACCCATATAAAATATTTTTGAAGAAAGAATTATCATAAAGAGAACGGGAGCCTTATTTCTACTCCTTTTTTCCTTACTGCTTCGCTGCATGCAATCAGGAGACAGGATCATCCAGAGCAATGCTGCTTTGGGGATCCCTCCCAATGGCACCCACAAGGAAAATATTTCAGCTCCTTCTGCCAAGGGACATTCTGCTTTCCCCCTATTTATATCGCAGAAGTGCTCTAGGAAGGCAGTGTGGTGTCAGACCTGGGAGATCAGGGTTTGAATCCCCACTCAGTCCAGAAACTCAATGGGTGACCTTGGTGTCAGTTGCCTCCTCTTAGCAAACCTCGCAGGGTTGTTGTAGGGAATAATTAGTGGGGTGAATCACAGACTCCTTGGAGAAAAAGGGGGAGACCAAGGCAATAAGAATAAGTTGGAATCTAGTTACAAATGTCTGTAAATTTCTTATCAAAATAAATGCAATAGAAATGTGCTTAAAACCTTTGTTGACTTCTTTGGGTTAACTGTTCATATCTGCTGCTTTGTGAATGTGCTTATGTAACATTGATGCAAATCCATGATTGCGCAGAAGGGGCTTTGGGTTGCATTCAGGAACATTTCCATGAGCTTGGTATGATCAAACATCCACAGATGAATTTTCATAGATCAGTGGCGTAGCGTGGGGGGTGCAGGTGGGGCCGGCCGCACCGGGCGCAACATCTGGGGGGGGCGCACTCACACTCGCAGCTCTCTGCCCCTACCTGGCTCACTCACTCTCTCTCACTGCAGTGCTGGCTGTGCGAATCCGATCCGAGCTGTTGGGTCGCCGCCCACTGTGGAGGGGGTGGGTGCCAGGCGTGCGGTGCGGAGAGAGAGCGAGGGACTATCTGGGGGAGGGACAGTGCAGCGGCCACCCAGCGCAGCGCTGAGTGCGGGAGAGAACCAGACCAGACCAGACCAGGTAGCAGCAAGAAGAAGCTGGCAGCGGTGGCAGGTTAGGGGTTAGGGGGCGCAAATTACTTGCCTTGCCCCGGGTTAGGGGGCACAAATTACTTGCCTTGCCCCGGGTGCTGACAACCCACGCTACGCCGCTGTCATAGATACCCATACATACATACATACAGGGGACATTGTGTTGACAATGCAATATTGTGAACTGGCTTTTAGAATTTTGGAGAAAACACAAAGCTGTTTTCTCTGTGCGTGCAAATATCCATGTCAATTTATAATAAGATATCTGTTTTTCTGCAAAGCCACTTCCGACGTAGAAGGAGGAGGGGTTGGGGCTTCGCCCTCCCACCATGCACGAGCCTCAGCCTCCGCAGGATTGCGGGAATCCCGATCGCATCATCCCCTGGCCAGCCAATCGGATGGCCTGGGGGGCGTGGCCTGCTCCATTTAACGCAGGGGTGGCCTGGGATCTCCCTCTTGCCGCTTCCAGCTGCTCCAGTTTGTCGGAGATCTTATCTCCCCGTCGCCTGCTCTGGAGCACGTGCGCCTGCTTGTTCTTTTGCTTTAATCTTCCCCTTCCTTTTAGTTGCTGTGCCTGCTGCTGCCTGCCTTTTCCGGCTGCTGCTTTCCCCCTTAAGAGCTGCTGTTTGCCAGCCCGAGCCCTTTCTTTTCCTGTGAGTAGCGCTTTGTCCGGCAGCCCTCTGCTGCAAGTCTCTTTCCCCGGCTTTGGAGCCCTCCCCTCATTTCACCCTGAGTGCTTTGGAGCCGCCGCTTCCTAAGGTTTGGAGTTGGTGTGGGGCTGACCAGGAGGGACTGCAGAACTAGTTGGGGAGTAATTTGCTGCAGCAGTTTAAGCTATTGGTGGCTGGGTCGCCCAAGGGCAAAACCTGTTTGCTGTTGCTAGGGGCAGCGCAGCACGTGGAGCTTTTAAATTGGTCACTGTAGGACAAGGTCAGGGAGCACTGGGGTTGCTTTGTGTGTACATTATTCTTGCTTGGGGGGCGAGTGAGGCAAGCAGGAAAAAGGGGTTGTTCTGGGGACTGCATTACCAGCCCGTTTATCAGGTTTCAGCCTAATTCCCCTCCCCGCCCCCATGGGTCTCGTGCTGCTGGTTGTTTATTGTTGTCAGGGTTACGGCTCCCTGGCCGTCACCATTTTTTCGCCACGTGGTCCAGCACGGGCAGCCATTTTAGGAGAGGCAGTTTCTTGCAAGGCTGGCCCCTTTTTTCATGTCCGATGCATTTTGGGGCTTTTTATTAAGCTCCGTTGCATGCGAGCCCTCTGGGAACTTGAATTTATCTGACCATCACCTTTACTTACCTCCTGTGGGCTATATTGTTTATAATCTAGCTTAGTTTCTCCGTGCTAGTAGCTTTATATTGTGACATAGCTAGCTACATTGGTATTTAATTGCATCACGTTTCTTAGCCTGCAGTCCCTATCGTTACATTGCGGCTTGCCTTCAGCTTGTTGCTACTCAAGTGATGCATTGTTGGTTCTGAATGCTTGGGGAGTTGGTGGTTGTGGCACAAATTGATAGCACGCGTGGGTTTTCTGGGGCTGATTGTGGGGCTAAAAATAATAAATAGATAATATATATAAAAATTATATATATATATATATATA